GCATTGAAATAATTTTATTCTAAACGCGTTTGTGAGAAGGTAGTTAGTCTAAAAGTTGATCAGTAAATTGCTCAACGTTTATTTGAGGAAAGTAAATCCAGTATTTGCTTTACAATTTTTTTAAACTTTTGGAGATTTTACGCTTAAAGACAAGCAGTTATTCTCATACAGTTATAAGTAATTAGTCTTTACTAAAGGAGGCCGTTAAGTACAGGAGTAGAAAATTATGGATAACACTGTATAAAATTTTTAGTCAACTGTTTAAAGCACGCTTGTTCGATGCCCTTACCGGTGTAATTTTTAGTTTCGTGATGAGATCCCATATGTTGCCAAACGTGTACCGAATCCTGGCGATATGATGGTACGTTTTGGTTAATTATGTAACAGCCAAACGGACTGATGGAGGATGTTGGAAGTAACGAAGGACCTATAGCTTTTTACAGATATTTGCTTAATTATGGATATTTTTTGGGTAATAGAAAAAAATTGTTTTTTCTTGTCATCAACTACTCTTTTATGCTCGCATAACCTTTATTTCATTTGCTGAACAGTTTTGAGTATCGCACTGTGGTTTGGACAATTGAAAACGTTTCGCTATGTTAACGAATAAAGGCTGTTATCAAATCTGTCTTAACGCAGCAGACTTCCTTCAGAGCCAGAACTTTAAGGAATACCCAGCCCACGCAGCAATTTTCTATTTGACATCTTATACGCTAGAGACAGGGTAAATCAGTGCTACACAATTCGCTTACCAAGTAAAAACTAGCGAGAGGAAATTCAAAGAAAGTTTTGAAGGCGATGATTAAGCACTGGCTTTTGTTTTATCCTTCAAAAAAATACTTTGAGGCTTTTGTTTGAAGCGAAAACGAAGTATTTTATTTGGTTAAATTTAGCTTTATCATCACGCAACTAAGCAAATTTTTTGAAAATATTAAAGTGGTCAACTTGTTCTTCCAAAAAAAAAAAGAATACTTCTGGAAACCTTTTTTTGCTAATAATGACTCATTCAAAAGTACATCAATAAATCCTTCTAAATTGAAGCAGTATTGAGTGTTGCACTGAAAACAGTATGAATTTTTATGTTACTTATATTATTCAGTTGCAGTTTACCAATATAACACTTTTAAAAGTTGATTCTTTGACTAGTCTGGAATAAAAGAAGCTTCAATTCACTCATTACAGAATCCAACCAACAGTCGCTTTGCCTTTGTATGTCACAAAAACTTAATTTATATGACAATTTTTTTTTACTCAGTTATAAGTTTTAAGAGCGGCTGCAGTGAAATCAGAAGACATCGTTCGATCCCACCTATAGGAAGCTCTTCCTCTGCTTACATAATATTGGTTTTGCTACAAGTATTTGTGCTGTGAACTGCCGATTATGAAAACTGGTTATGTGAACATAATTTCTTCTAGAAGAAATCAGCTGATGTGCTCATTTTCTTTGTTTTCAGCAAATTTTGAGTTGCTTTATGTTGAAACATACGACTTTGACATAATATGATAAACACTTGCTATTGAATGCCTTCGGATATAAAATTAGTTATTACCTTTTGACACTGAGATGAAGCGACGTTAAACTGTTGTTGTTTATAGCATTTTTGCTTGGATTGTCTGTGTTCTGCGGTTTCTACAATGTCTTCGAGCTCGTCACTGGCCAGGTTATTGTGGTTAATACATTACTTAAATTGTAGAAATATAATAAACAAGTTCAAAGCTCATTTAAAGGCCAAAAAGTACATATCAACTTGAACGGTTTTTGAATATACAAATTTTGAATTTATCAAAGCATTATTAGAAGATGTTTTTGTGTTCAAGCAACTTGTTCAAAAGTAACAGAAAGCATATCACTTCTATTCATCTCTTCCACATCGCATATTCTGAGATTACTTTCAAGTTTTTTTCTTGTCGCTTTAGTTTACCTGTTCTGCTAAGTTCCTCGAATTTTTTATAAAAAAACGTTCTCAATTGAATAGCGAAGCAAAAGCAATTAACGGCTTAAATTTTTCTGTCTGCAGGAGAACAATTTGAAGAACGATGAAATAGTTCAGAATGATGTCTTAAATCTTACTTACTTCAAGCCGCGGCCGCTGGAGTTTTCTGTAATCGCATTACGCCCTGTTCGACGGTGTATTAACCACTTTATGATGACGATGGCAGCTATCAGATGTAGAATATCGTTAGCATCTATTTGAATTTTTTAAAATATGCAAAAATCATCAATTGCCAAACTAATTCTTTTTGGTTTTTCTGAAAACAGTTGTTATATTATGTTCCACTGATGCAGTAACTGGTTTACAGTACAGGACTGTTATTTACTGCAGCCAAAAGGTTTGAAGTCCTGTTAGGTTAAAAATATGTAAGAGTTATATGGCAATGGGATTGATTTCAGATTATATTTGTTGTTGTTCTGCACAGTAGCATTCACGGTGCTTGTTCTTTCATCTGTAAAGCACGTTGAAGAGGCGAAAGAACTGACGCTGAAGCAGAAACACTACCAACCCACTAAACTTGAACTAACGGTTAGTAGCCATCTTTGACTAAATTAACAAAACTAATAGAGATCATCTCGTCGTACCTCCACAGAGTAGCGCAGTCAGTTAGCTCTCTGATTGGCCGCGTGTTCCTAATGAGTTGGAAAACCGACTTTCCTCCCTCCGCGGGTCGTCCCATTTCGAGCGTACTAACAATTTATAATGATCGTGAAGTTTGTGTCAACCGAGAATTTGAAGAGGACTTCCGGATTAGTCTAGAACGTCTGCAGTTGCAATTATTTGCTTTAAAAAGCATAAATGGTAAAGTAATAAAGCGGGTTTGAAGGATAGATTTGTTAGAATTAACGAGAAAATAGAAAAGAAATGGAGTGCTAAAAATTGACTTTAACAGAGATTTGAAGTGACTCTTTTTTTTTCGCTGAAATATTAAGAAAGGTAATGGCTTTTGTTAGCAGCTTAGACAGAGTTCAGCAGTTTATGTGAGGATAATAAGATCTCAGAAGTAGCTCTTAATAAACTTATTGCTTTTAAAGCCAACTAATTTCATCGACTTTGTCTTTTCAGGTAATCTTTTTTATTTCTGAATCTATACTTTTAAGCAGGCAATTTTAATTGCAAATTTTCTTTACCAAATCTTGATCTATCAAACACTGCAAAGAATGTTCTTGGTTGTCCAGGAAAAAGTAAAAAAAATTTCAGTAGACAAGTGAAAAGGCATATCGATAAGTTCATTTTCATACCTTGAAAAAGTTGATCAGGTTTTGCCAAACAAAAAACCTTCACATTATTTTCTGCAAATTTTCTTGGCAGGTGAAGATCAAATGCGTCAGGCACCTCTTGGTTGTAGCGTCGGAGCAATTAACCGCATGCTCAGCGCTGCAAACTCTTGCACAATAGTTTTCTCAAGTAACTGACGGTGGATGAGCAGGTTGCCATTGGCCTGCTAATGCTCTAAGAATATGTAACAAAAACTCATGTAAATGGACATAAAGGCGTTATGATTACTAGACAGAGTGGTTTCGTAAATCGCTCGAAAACCGCGTTCTTCAACCAGTAAAAGTAATTTTTAACCCCGCAGGTTCCGGTGGCTGAAGATTACTGTAATATCTAAATTTTTCATTTTCTCCAAAATTTTACTTTTCCTCCAGCATAACTTAACCCACAATTAGTTTCATCACCTGGCATTAATGAAGCTACTTTTAGAAAAGTAATTTTGATTGGAAACGATTTGGAAACTGTTACCCTTTACGCTTTTGACTTTTTATTGCTTCAAGAAGCACTCGTTTATGAGTTCTATTTACATACCATAGCTAAAGAGAAGGCTCAAATAATAGAGAAGAGAACTTGCTAAACTTTTTTTACCCTTTCAAGCAAACTGTTCAGGAGATAAAATGCGAGAAGGTGCCTTATCGCTTGCCTGATGATAATGGTCCTAACTTGTCTTCCCGTTAAGGTTTTTACTGGAATAATTGTGTCATCCGGTAATTTCAACCGTCTGTTTTTTTTTATTTGTTAAACCACCTGAAGTCTAATGTCAGCTATTTGACACATTTCTTTGCCGAATAGAACAAAATCAAGCAGTATTGCTAAATCTTTTCAAGATTAATCATTGTACTTTAAAAGTCTTATATAACTGAACAACTTTTACCGCAGATGTAATATCCAACGAAATCCAGTGTCTGATACCCGACATCTTATCTGGCAGTGACAGCAGAGTCACCAAATCCACAATCTTAAAGCTAATTCCCACATTTTACCCAAAAAGAAAATGCTTGTTGAAGGAATTTTTTGCTGTGGTTTCCTTGAAAATTCTGCCTTTACTGTGTTGAGTAAGAGTTATGATCTGTTTTTGCTATTCCAAACTTCCAAATTAATCTTTTGAAACAGTTCATCAAACTGGCTGGAGAAGATGCTTGCCAAATGCAGGTGCAAGTATAAGGAGTGTTGAATAATGTCAAGTAAAAAAGAGAGCTTGCTTTACGGAAAATTTCACAAGTAAGAATTTTACTGGTAACCAGAAAAAATAGATTCAGTGAAAATAAGTCGGAAGTAAAGCTAAAAAGCAAAATTTGAATAAAAAGTTGGACTTTAGCAAATTCAGAAAAAAGTCAATTGAATTTTTTCCAGAAAAGAGTGATACACCAACAGTTACCACTAGCTCTATAATGACAGATATGAACATCTTAACAGCTCTGTTTGCCTTTTTCTACTGACTTCTTATTGTTCCCTGAATTGCTAGTCAGAAGCTCAAGTCACATGTCGAATCCACTGTGTAATTATTATGGTCTGATTTAGTTCAAAGTCACAGCACTGTGACGATGTATTAAAAGAAGAGAAGCTATGTACAACTAGTTACGGAGGCTTGACACAACTGAATTGAGCCTCTTTTGAATGCTGCATATGAAAATCTGCTCATAAGACAAGGAAAGTGAAAAAAAGAAATAATAAAAATTATCACCAAAGAATTACTGTTACAGCAGTAAGAAATCGAAAATGAAGGTTTGGTATGGTAAGGCATGCTGTCGTCTTCACGAGATTTTGAAATTGAATTAAAATATTTTTAATCAATAGTCAGTCTACTTTCCTTCAATGACACTTCATCACATTACAATAAGAACTGTAAACGGTCTGATACATAGTGCACACTGATTAAATGACCTCATATGGTACACCGTAGAGGCCGAAGGAATATATAAAAAAAACAACGAATTTAGCAGCTTATTTTTGAAAAAAAAGAAAAAGCAACCTAATTCTTTATTAGTCCTTCTATCGAAAGCAAATGAAGTGTTGTATTCACTTCTCTTCTTTCCTAAACGTCAAAAACCTGGCTACACAATCTTTCAGACCTTTTCGCATGTTTATCTTCCAAAATCCTAAAGCTCAATTTCAGTCGTCAGAGGAATGCTACACAGAAATTGTAAAATGAAACTCCCCCGGACTACGGACAACATTGTAAGACTGGCAAAAAATAAAAAAACAATTGGCTGATGAATTCGTACTTGCCTATCTTTCGTTTTCAGCCAAATATCAGGAAAGTACTAAGCCCACCTTCAGTCTTCCTACCTGGCGTTAATAGTTAGCGACAAGTTTTGTAAGCTTAATTAACCACTGTTGAAAAATTATAAGAAGTATTACTGTCCCGTTAATTTTTGATATAGTAGTAGAAGTCCCAGCTATTCGGAGTCAAGCTGTTCTCAACCACCCGGTATAATGCTCATGATAATAATAAACCAAAAAGTTTTCATCGCATAGAACCAAATTAAACGTGATTCCTGCTGTATTATGAAGGTTGCAAGAGAAAGGTCTCGCCACTTAAATGCAAAAATCATTAATGCTTTGCTCCTCTGGATACGATTCTGGGCACTGTTAGACTTCAAGAACTGTTCTCAGTGAAAGAATGAAAAAGAATTTGGAATTTGACGGTATGAAAGTTTTCTGAGGGCAATGCAATCAGACTTTCGTAATTAACTTCTTTTTTTATGTTTTTGGTTTTCAATGTATTTATCTGTTGTTCGAGCAATTGTTCAGTTCCTCCTTGGTTAAGCAACTTCTGTGCATCGTTCAGCATTTTACACGGCCTTCAAATTTTAAGCTCTTCGTTTTCAATGTTGCGGTGTGGCCAAGAAGGAGGCCCACGTGCTTGACTTTGTTACGAGTCATTCTTTGTAGTGCAAATGCTTCAATTTACTGCTTTGCCATATCAGTGGCTTTTTCAAAGACAACTCCCTGATTTTTGATGGTTTATGCAGTTGAGGAAGGAAATAATAAAGTTTGCTGACGGAACATTTGCGCATTTCGTCTTGAGAAGACTATTGTGGTATCCCGATGTTTAATGAGCTAAATAATCACATTTAGTTTTCAACATCTTGCGGTTGCTACAGTACACTGTGGTTGATCGCTGGGTGCTATGCCGGATAGTGATAAGTATAGCTTTCAAAGCTTTCAGTGTTTTCAAAAGGATACTAGTGTTTTTAGATATGGGGACTGCATTTTGTGCGATGATATATCTTCTCGACTTTGGGCAACAGTGGTTCAGTAAAAAGCGCTAGTAACACTTAAACTATGAACATAGATTTGTGTTTTTTTTTTCAAGGTTAGCGCTTGATTACCGGCTATATGCCAACCTTAGATGGTCGACGTGCAAATGTTCAATAAAGCTTTCTCGTTAGCACGATAAGGTGCATAGAGCACCACTGTTATTGACATGGAACTTTGGTTGTGTTGTCAAACACCGGTAAACTGCAAATTCGGTAACAGCAAAAATAAGAAGAATTAATTGGTCTTATAGGTCATAACTATTCATGATTTTAATAATAGCATTTCAACTTACAACACTGAAGGTTACCAATTATTTTAAACTTACGGAATCTAGTAAGGCACTTTTGGTACGGCTGCATCTTAGCTTTGAAAAGGGCGGTATTAAAAAACTAATTATCTTTGGAACTGTTCTTCTCCAGTAGGAAAAAAAAACAATGAGGGCTGCTGAGAACAATTGTTCAGAAGGCAGCTGTTAGAGGAATTGCTTGCCGACATCCTCGGCAGTCTTCATCAGTAAACTTGCTCAGACCAAGGAATCGGAAGGTCATAGAAAAAACAGTGATGAAGGATGATTTAAAATATAGTCATTTCCTAACTTCTTCCGGAAATTCTACAGTGTTCTTGCGTCAGAACTATTAGACCTGGAGTTTGAAGGGCATTTATTTACAATAATAAAATTTCTTCAAACTTTCGATTGCCGAGTTTAAAACTTGTCAGTTTTGCTTGGTTACAATTCAAGAATATCTTCTTGGAAAACTGTTCTAAAAGGATACTCCGGTTGTATTGAAAACAGGTAAGATTGTTGGACAAAAACTGCTTTTTGTTTGCTAATGCTATTGCAGTATACGAAGGCATCGATTCCTCATATTCTTGTGGGGCTACAAAAAGGAGCTGATTCCGCCACGAAGTTCTCCACAGAGACTGCTCTGTTTTAGCTTTGCGCAATTAAATAGCTCTCCTTCCGGCTTATTAATAGCTTATTAATTTCAAAAAATCTTTTGTTTCTTCGACCTCTTCGTCCTTCCCTTACTGCTTATCTTTATCACTCTCCTACCTGTTAATTAATTCGCAAGCAGTTGAGATACTTCTCTTTGTGAGGAATTATAAGAAGGCAGCTGAAACACCTTATTAATGCACAAGCAATGCCACTGAAAGAAAGGGGTATGTTAGACGAAAGTTTAGAGACAGTGCAATTACGGCAGTGTACTAGAGAAAAAAAGGAATGTTCGAGAAACAACCAGAATACGTGTTCAGTCACGCCATATAAATGATGGCAGAGCGGCAATATGTAGTGAGCAGCTCTGGTTGTTGCTCGGTTGGTATTTTCTTCCTTTTCAGTTTCATCTAAGCCAGTTGTTATCTCCTAGAAATGGACCTGTGCCCACGAGACTATGGTCGCATGTATTACTCATCGCCGTTCGAACATATGATGGTTCGAGCATTCAATGAGGCGATGAGGAATTTTGATCGTTCGCTTCATGCCGTCAGTCCGTACTGGTTGAATCAGCCAGCTTTGCACGAATGCAACATTGGCAATGCGGTTGGAAAGGTATTTCCTTTATAAACAACAGTTGAAAAATCTCAGTCTTAGTTATTGTTCGTCTTTTTATTTTTGTTCTGGTTTGTCGACATTTTTCTCCCAGGGCAGCGAAGGAGTAGTGTTTGGGGTCTTCATTACGATAGTGTTACAATCTAAGCAGTTGTTTAGGTTGTTAATGATTCGGAAAAGTTCCTAGTTGAAGTTGATGTTACTCAGTTCCATCCTGAAGAGTTGTCAGTGAATTTACGTGACAAGGAAATAGTAGTTGAGGGACATCATGAAGAGCGTGGCGATGAGTCTGGAAAGATTGAACGTCATTTTACTCGCAAATATGCCCTTCCGGACGACGTTAACCAGGAATCTGTCACATCACATCTTTCTGACAAAGGTGTACTCTCAATTTGTGCCAAGAAAATGGCAACTGTGAAGAACACACGCACAATCCCAATTCAGGCAGCTCCCCCCGAAAAGCATCAGGCTGTGGAACAAAAGAAACCGGCAGAACAGTAATGAACCTCTCACGATGTACAGTTTTTTGTTCAGTAGTTGCATGAAACGATATTTAATTATTATCCTCGTAAATTCAAAGGTGAGAGACCAAATCAGGTTTTTTTAACTCGGTTATTATTTTTGTATTGTTGCTGCAGTTGTTTGTGCTGATGGTGGAATGATACAGGTATTATTCTTTTAACGATGTTATTGAATTAGCTTGCATTTGCAGTTTAACTTTTGGCCCGAGCAAAACAGTGTTGACTGCTTTGTGTGTTATCAGTTTACTCTAATAACCGAGTTTTAATTTGTTTGTTTCATCAATAGTACAAAATAAAGGATTTGTTGCTAAGTTTATTGTCAGTCAGATAGCGGATTTCTTTAGTACGAAGGGATAAATTGCCTATATCTTTCATTGAGCATTCTGGCTATAAAGAGTGTCAGAGTTAAAGTTTTGCACTTTGCTGTTCGCTACCGCTCTCACAAAAACAGTAATTGAGTCTTGAAAAGTTGTCAGTTAGTGTCGGTAATTACATGCAAGATTACTGAGGTTTCTGGAGTAAATTCAGATATTACTTTGCTTGATTCTTGAAATAAGACGGGGAGTTCTTTTGCAACCAAAATCTTATAGTGACTTTGGCTGTTACATCCAGTAGAAGTTGTACACTTTTGGAATTAGCAGTTTTCTCTGCAAATTTGGTAAACTGTTTCTTCTTGTCAGGTTCTATTTGTTTTGTTTGCCAATTCTGCACAAAGGAAGTCGATTATTGACCTAGTTAAAGCTATATTAGTAAATCGTTACTCCAATCTTGGCTCTTACTCGAGCATTATTTTTTTATGACGTAAATGAAATTCTTTGTAGGACTCCTCTTGTTTAAAAAGGTGAATTCCTCAAACATTTCTTTTTTTTTTTTTTTTTGAGAAATTTAGATTGCTCTTCACATTCGTTCATTTTGAGGTTCCTCCGAAGCGCTATCTTTTCGCACGTTTTCTTCAGAAAATAACTAGCTTTTTGGAAGGTTTTTTTTTGTGTTTAGCTGCGAATTATATATCTTGATTGTATTGTAAGTTACCTTTTTACCAAGTTTTATAAAACGTTATTGGCGATGCATTTTTAGCGAGACAATGAACACGTATTGTCTGGTAAATATCTGTATGCGAAGGTAACGTGAAGTGTACATATAACGGAACTAACACCGAAATGACGTGTAATTTAAATGACAAACTGGTTTTTAACCGCATTTTTTAGCCAAGTACAGTAAATATTTTTTTCTGACGTTCGAATATGGTTTAATATTTAATTGCATGTTTTTATTTTCTATGATCAGTCGGTATTGTTAACTTCCGACGTAGTGCCTTTGTTAGTAATGTATTTTATGCCTGGTAAGTACTCGTTTTTCCGGAACGATAATTCTTTATAATAGAAGGCTGTCTTTGTAGCATTATATCAAGCATTGTTATATTGCAGTAGTTAGAGTTTTGAGAGGTGAACGTAGAGAGGAGAGAAAGGGTCGGTATGTGTAATTTTTCGGTCGCTCTGAATTTCTGTGTATTATCTGTAGTTACCGTTTTGAATATATTATATCACAGAGTCTGAAATTAGGCGGTTTCAGTACTAAATTTTCATGTGACAGGCCTATGAGAGTGAGCAGTACAGTTTTGTTTAGAAGTGATTAACAGGGCGAAGTACAAAAAAAGCGCCTTGCAAGTTTGAGTTCAGGCCGCAAAACATTAAAATTCTTATTAAAATTTTGAGAATCTACTGCCGTACAGATGCCAAGAGCATATCAGAGTGACAAAGTTTTATTTGCACCCCTGTGCATTCTGAAAGGTAAACAGTGTAATGATGTTACGCAATGGTTTTCAGAAACAGGCAAAAATTTTTGATTCTGCATGCGTCAGAGAAATAATTTTCATGGGCATTATCAGACCAATGTCTGCTCAAGAACGGTTTTAGACATAAACTACCGGCGAGGAGCAGATATGGGCAGTTATCGGTTTCAAAGCAAAATTTTGTCCGTTCGAAAGTTCTAGAACTGCACTAACTGGTTTATTAATTAAAGAAGCAGATCTTATGAAATATAATGCTGAGGAAATTACAGGTGGCAAATAACATTCTCAAGATATCCCTGGTTATTGTAAAAAGACTAGCACAACACAGTTTTGGCATCAGGGGTTTACAAGTTCTTCACAAAATCACTCACTGAAAAGAAAAGAAGAAGAGGAAAAAGTAATCAAAGTGACTTCAAATGCCAACAACAAACCAAGTAGAATGCAGAAAACTAAGTAGGTCTGAAGAATCCGGCCAGTTCTCCCCAAGATGCAGAGCGGTTTTGCATTCAGACCCAAAGTGTAAATTCATTCAAGCCAATTAAATATCGTCAACCTTTGGTACTTTCTGAATACCAGAGGTCAGACAGAAAGTTGTAATCATAGCAAGTGACCGTCCCTGTCGAAAACTGTTGGAGGATGGGGGATTCGAACCCCCGACTTCTCGCATGCAAAGCGAGCGCTCTACCCCTGAGCTAAACCCCCTCCACTTGCTCGCCTTCTCTTTTTACTTCATTACGGATGCCCCTTTAAAAACCCCACCTCTCACACCACTCAACGACGTTCGAAAAAGAAGACCCACCTTGCCTACAAATACCACCTGTCTTTGCCACTCTCTTCGTCAAAGTGCAGTTTAAGCAACCGCTAGACAAACCCTTGAGATCACAGTTTGTTAGAAAAAAACAATCTGTGCTGAGTGTAAAAAAATACCTTTTATGCGAATATTCAGCATTGTGCTTACTGGCTCTCTTCTTTCCTAAGAAAACTGACCAGTCTGACTACTCAAATCCACTAAAACAGTTAGTTACTCGCCTCAGTGCAGAAGTGCCAAAAAGCAACAGTACCGTTTACTTCAAACAAAAAATTTACAAATAAATTACACGTTCTACAAACAAACAAAAACAACATAACGAGATCAAAATTTTGCGAAGACTGTAGTGTCCCGAAGTCAACTAATTCATTTTACCTCACTCCTCAGTGAAATAGAAACATGAAGTTTGGTAAACTTGGCGAAAGTTACCTAAAAGCTCGAACCACTACGGCCTCCAAATCAAGGCATCATATATTTAAAATCTCAAGTAGACTTTTTCCCTCTACGAGTCTTTTTCACAGGCTTGTCATCCTCTGGGTCATCCTCAGCAGACCTTTTTTGCGCCATTGTGCACTGAATTGGGATCGTTCTTACTTTCAGTTGCTCAAGCTTCTTCGCCTTAACAGTCATATGGCCCTCTTTAGTCATATGAGACTCAATTGATTCCGGGTTGACATTTTTAGGCAGTGTGTATTTACGAGTAAAATGACGTTCCACCGTACCACATTCTTCGTCACGTTCTTCGTGGTGTCCCTCAATAACCAATTCTTCGTCATGAACAGACACTGAAAGCTCTTCGGGGCGAAACTGCGAGACATTGAGTTCAACGGAAAATTCTTTGGCATTGTTAATAACCTGAAAACAATTTGCCCATTTCAATCCACTACATGGTCACTATACCAAACCCTTATTATAACGTGACGATTTCTCTTTTGCTTTCCCACAAAACCACTAAAAGCCAAAAAGTGATGGAAAAAAATGGTACTTTATCGTCTTCCTTCCTCATCTGATGGCCCGAAGAACCAAATCGAAGTAACGGACGGTCCTTCAGCAAATCCTGCTTGAAATATCTCTCAAAGTCGTCAAAATGTGTATCGCTAAACATCCTAGCAGCAACACGCTCCAGCGGCGAATCAAAATCCCTAAATTCGTACGGCGACAGCATAGCTACTGCTTCAACCTACCAGCAACCGTGACAACAACCAGCACAGACGCCGAGCACGAAGCGCCAACACTGAGCGAGGTGCCGTTTAGCTACCCGCTATTCATAACCAAATCGAACCATTCGTGAAGAACATTCTAGAAATTTCTAAACTCTTTTCAATTCTCATATCGTCGGCCCTCCCACTGCTGCGCACTCTCTAATGGATTTCTGTTTCTTTGGCAGGTTTGGGCGCCAAAACAGGACCGCGTGTTGATAGCCATGCATTGATAAACTGACGGCCGATAAATTCTTTGGTACACTGACAAGCTGTTGTCGTGCGACTATTACGGATGGTAACAGTTGTCCAGTTGCTAGTCTACATCAGATTTTTTTTTATAGCTTAGCTGTGAGTTTTGCAAGTTCGTCGGGTGTTGCACACGAGGCCATTATTTCTTTGATCATGGCTGCTTTCGGTCTGGTGGTGGTGTAAGAGAGATAGGTATTAGAGCAAGTTATAGTTTGTTTTGGAGTTTGTTCTCATTTGCCCTAATTTGCTTCTTAATTCTGCAAGCCCTTAAAGTAGCAAAGTTGTTGCCAAGTTAAAGAGGTAAACTGCAAAGACTGCAAAGTTGTTCTTCTGCATAGAGGTCTGGAATATGAGGTCTATTCCCGGCTTGGTTGGTTCTTCTTGTAGCCGGACCCCTCTAACTTGAAACGATTAAATAACTGAACGTGTTTGAAGTTGATGCGTTTAGCGTATCGCGATTTACGTCTTTTCAGTAAACCATCATAAGGACGTCTTGTGGTGACGGCTACACAACTACTACCTTAACTTCGTCTTGAAAGCCCCATCTCGTTTAATTTTCGCATTCTTAGCTCTGCCTTTCCGAATCGTTCTACAAGTAATGACTTTTTTCTTTTATTACAGGGCGCTTTAAACCACTTATCAGTACCACAGTTGATTTAGTACTAGTGGAGAAATATTTCCTTTACTTGTACACAGTTGGCTGATGTAGATTTTTGTCTCTTAAAGCTGTTATTCAAATATTCAACGTTTTACTACATAATTGGCTTTCTGAATCAGGACTGTTTCTATGCGTTTAGACTTAGAAAGCACATTTATTAATCTTTTCATAACGCTCGATTGCCATCAAAAACTGCTCACTGTAACTTATGCAGGATGAGTTTAACCTCAGAAATGGAATTATTAGGCGCGATTTACGGAAATGCAACGAAGAAGAAAAAAAAGGAACGGCAATGGAAATGGTTTAGTTTCCATTAACAATCGCTACTAAAGCATCACGGTACACTCCTGAGCATTCAGAAGTAAGCCATTCGGACAGCGGTTTCTTGTATACCTTCTCGAACTCCTCACGAATATCCTGTAAATCGATTTCAGAACGTGACACTATTATGCGGATGAGATCAGTGTCTCGGGTGCCCAAGCCCTGAAATTCAATGTTTTACTGCCCACCATACTAAGATAGCTTAAATCTTCTGTAAGTCGCTTTTGTGTTGCTGCAGTGCGCCAAATAATCAATGGATGTGCTAGAAAATTTAAGCAAATGGCTTTAAATGGTGTTATCAGCAACCTTCATCGCCTCGTAAAGCTGACGAGCAAAGAATCGTGGTTTGTTTTGTATGAAGTCAGCTAAATGAGAGTACAGATCTCTAGCATCACCGCTGAATACTCTCTGAAAGGATTTTTGTGCGTATTTAGTTATGCAGCTAACAAAGTTTTCACGAAGCAAAATGGGAAATACGCTTTGGCTCTCTTCCCACCGCCAGAAATTCAGAGGATGTAGCGAAAAATCTTTCAAAAAACTTTATGAGATAGAGACTAACACTTATCACAGTCTGGATCGTTTCTCCATGAATGCTTTGAAATTCACTGAATATGCGCGCTAACTGATGCACATTTTGGTTTGCAAATGCGTCATTGAATACGCTCTTATCCGGCTTTTCCTTTTTGCTTCCAAACATTTTTCTGGCGTCCTGCAATCACTGGTGGATTTGGGAGTAGTTTGGAAAAATAGAAACACTGCCAGAAAAATTTTGTTTTTATTAGCAAGACTTTCTGGAAAGCTGGTAATAGCTGTAATAGTTTCTCAGTTTGAGAGGCATGACGTTACAGTGTTCTGTTGCTACTTTGGAAAAAGTATACTGTGGAAAGTGAACTGTGGAAGACTTGTTTCGAGTAAAAACCGAATGGTTCTCATTTGGTCCAAACCTTTACTACAATTCAAAGTAGACCTGTTATTACAAAAATCCACTTACTTCGCGAGCTTTCATAATGTCAACATGATAGCTTGGGTCCCTCTTGCCCTGCAGGAGGGACACCAGCAAATTTTTAAAATCACCGCTTGTGTCGCCGACGATGTCGTCCTCCAGACTTTTATTGTATTCATCCTTATATTCGTTTTTGATCGCAGCCAATTCACTTGGTGTTCGTGAGCAAACGATGTCGATTAAAACACTTTCTTTAGTACCGAGGCCCTACAATTCTAATTTCAAGTACCATTTTAGCTTCACTGAGAATAGGAGTTAAGATGACACAACGGAAAACCTTTCTCGCTACAAATAGTCGGAAGACAAACTTTCATTGCGTTATATAGCTGTAGTACGTCGAATTTAGTCGGCGTTTCCATCAAACCCACAACTACATTCTCGAGGTCACCAGAAAGTTCTTTTTTTAATTCATCCACTAAATCCTTGCCGTATTTTGTCTTGAAAGGTGTACGTATCTAAAAATTTGGTTTGGCTGCAGGAAAGTAAGAAAAATTTAAATCTTACTCTAGTATTATAGTCTTAAAGTTGAGTTGAATTTTTGGATATGAGGGCTTTACAGACAACTAACCATTTGTCTTTGAGCGTTCGAGCAGCTTAAGAGTTGCTGAACAATCGCCTGTTTGTCACACCCCGACCCTTTCATTGCCTTTTCCAAAGCAGCAGCTGCAAGTTCTGGGTCAAAATTTGGGTTCATTTTAATCGTCCCATGACGTTCTGGATGAGCCATGATTCTGGACTGCTGAAAACACATTCATCTCGAAACTGTACAACTCACCCCGAGTACTGCTGCTTTTCAGCCAGAGGTCAACACTTACGAGCTTACGAGTTGGAATATTCGCATCAGTCTAAAATCTGCGCTCTTCGCAAATGCTCAGCCAAAAAAGTAGATAACCATTTTTTTAAGGTTTTCTCGTTTGTGTGATCACTTTTTGATACAGTTACGTAGACACTTCTTACCCTCCCAATTAAATATCACTTTTTACATTTTCTGATCTAACACTATTTCTGCTCCATCAAGGTATTAATAAATCAAGACTAAAGGCCGCCAGCATTAAACATACGGAGAAAACCAAAGACACATCTTACTTCACTAATTGACAGAAAAACACCTGATTTTAGTTTCTTTTAAATATATAAGTTAATAGTCTTAGAAATTTAAAAAAAAAAAAAAGCAAAAGAAAAAACTGAAAGCAGCAAATGAGTACGACGTCTGTGATTTGCAGTTGATTGACAACCATTTTTTACAATTTGCGGCTCAACAATCTGAGCACCTCTTACGTAGAAACAATGGATGCTCCACCTCTTCTCCCTTGTGGTTGTTAAAATAAACCTATTTTGCAGTGAGTGTGCGGCTAATTTCCTTCATGACAGACCTCTCATGAACAGATGCGCACAAGAGTCTCGAAATACTGACAAGGCAAAGTAATAAACTAGCATTAGACAGAAATTTTTATCAGAAACAAGAAATTAAAAATGATTGTAACACGGGTTATCTGGTAAAACTGTTATTGTTATGACTGAACACGGTATTCCGGTATTTGTAAATATCAATGAACATAATAATAAAAATGGCAAAAATCTGTGCCTTAATTTTGGTTCTGTGCTGTGCAGGAAAAGAAACACACTTGAACTGAATTTGGGAAAAAAGATAAACAGTTAAAACCACCACACTTAAATGTAAAGCAAAAGTCTGAGTCTGTAAGACTAAAAAGTCACATTGGAATCCTTATGAGGTTTTCACTAGCCAAAAACTACAACAAAGATTTCACTGTTTGGTAGTAAAAGCTGTGAGTAGCAGTCGAATAATAAAAGCAAAATAACTTTAAACTGCTCAAAATGAACAAAAAACCACCGAACTGTTCAGAGCGTCTCATCCAACAAGGCTGCAACATTTTGGACTCTGTTGCCCAAAAAGCATTGTGGTTAGATACTTCATTCTGATAAAGGTAAAAAGTAACCAGCTATACCAATTGTTAGTTTCAGCGGTTACTTGACTACCCGTGCTGCCGCACAAATCCAGCTAAATGAAGTTTTGAAGAGTTCGATAGTTAGTAAGTCACATAATTTGCTCGCCATCGATAATAAACTTTTTTGAGAACTATTGAACAGAAAAAAGCGGCCTTGAGAAACAAGATAAAATTCATGTTTGGATTGAACTACGTTCAGGTCTAAGTTCAGACGCATAAAAACGACCTACACAGAGAAATAAAACAACTGAGAGCTATAAAATACTAACTGCAAAAATCGTTCTAAAAACTTTTATGACTGATCAGTATTTTGGCGTAGCATAATCGAACACCAAAATATGTCAGAAAAATTAAGCTTTTGTACGATTAAAACCACTTGCATTGCTATTATTATTTGGATCATTTTTGGTGTTAAGAACGTGTTCCACAGCAACCTCAAAAAAACGAAACAATAAAAATACCGTTCCAAAACTGCACTTTAGCTAAAAAAATCTCATAGTCTTAAAATAATTATATTGTTTGGAAAACACAAGAAAGTTGCTCCCAGCAAGTGTCATAAGCCGAAATAAATAACTAAACGTCGTAATCAATCCCAATGCTGGTTCTTCTGTACAAGAAAGTACGAAACAAGCCTTTTCAAAATGAAACGATGCAAAGACCCAAA